TTGAAGAGGAATGACACTGTATTCGTCAAAAAGAACATTTCACGATCTATCATAAAGTACAAGGCAGTCAGTGATAGGATAACATCCATATGCCTACAAGACTAGTTAATATGACCATTATTCAAATTTATGCAGCAACCATTAAGGCCAAAGATGAAGAAATTGAAGGTTTTTTTTACCAACTTCTGTGGTCTGAAATTGATCCAACATGCAATCAGGGTGCATTGATAATTACCGGCGACTGGAATGCAAAAGTTGGAAACAAAGAATTGGCAGTTTGGAAATACAGACTCAGTGATAGAAACGATGCTGGAGATCACATGACAGAATTTTGCAAGATAAACTTCTTCATGGTAAATACTTTTTTCAACAACATAAACGGCGACTATACACGTGGACCTCGCCAGATGGTAGACACAGCTATCTGAGACTACATCTGCGGAAAGAGATGATGGAAAAGCTCAATATCATCAGTCAGAACTAGGCCAGGGTCTGCTGCAGAACAGACCATCAATTGCTGAGATGCAAGTTCAAGTTGAAGCTGAAGAAAATTAGAACAAGTCCATGAGAGCCAAAGTACAAGTTTGAGTATATCCCACCTGAATTTAGAGACCATCTCAAGAACAGATTTGACATATTGAACACTAATGACCAAAGAGCAGATGAGTTGTGGAATGATATCAAGGACATCATACATGAAGAAAGCAAGAGGTCATTAAAAAGACAATAAAAAACCGAAAATGAATATCAGAAGAGACTCTGAAACTTGTTCTTGAATGTCAAGTAGCTAAGCAAAAGGAAGAAATGATGACGTCAAAGAGCTGAACAGATTTCAAACAGTGACTCACTAACACGAAGTATTATGACATGTGCAAAGACCTGGAGTGAGAAAACCAAAAGTTCGTGAGGAGTGTGCCTCTTAGCTCAAGTAGAGACAAGAGACTAAATGGGCAGCTTCTGTCCGGAGGTGAGATGGGAAGGCAGGGAGGGTTAGGAGCTGGTGGAATGGACACGGGGAATCAGGGGTGGAAAGGAGTGCTGTCACAGTATGGGGAGAGCGATTAAAGTTGCATAACAACGTATGTATAAATATTTGTATGGGAAAAATTTTTTTAAAAAGAATAGTTTCAGTTAAGAAAGGAAAAAAAAAAGAAAACCAAAAGTGAAGAACATGCTCAACATTTCTCAACCTGAAAGAACTGAAGAAAAAATTTCAAGCTTCCAGTTACAATAGTGAACAAGTCTATGGGCAAAATTTTGAACGACGCAGGAGGCATCAAAAGACAATGGAAGGAATACACAAAAAGAATTGGTCGACATTCAACTATTTCAGGAGGTAACATACGGTTGAAAACTGATGGTACTGAAGGAAGAAGTCCCAGTTGCGCTGAAGATTCTGGTGAAAAACAAGGCTCCAGGAATTGACAGAATACCAGTTCAAGATAATTCAACAAACAGACGTAGCACTGGAAGTGCTCGCTCGTCTATGCCAAGAAATTTGGAAGACAGCTACCTGGCCAACTGGAAGAGATCCATATTCATGCCTATTCCCAATAAAGGTGATCCAACCAAATGTGGAAATTATTGAACAATATCATTAATATCACATGCAAATAAAATTTTGCTGAAAATCATTCAAAAGTGGGTCAAGCAGTACATCTACAATAAGTGTCAGAAATTCAAGCCAGATTCAGAAGAAGACGTGGAACAAGGGATATCATTGCTGATGTCAGATGAATCTTGGTTAAAATCAGAGAATACCAGAAAGATGTTTACCTGTGTTTTACTGACTATGCAAAAGCACTTAACTGTGTGGGTCATAATAAACTATGGATAACATTATGAAGAACGGGAATTTCAGAATACTTAATTGTGCTCATGACAAACCCGTACACAGATCAAGAGGTGGTCATTCAGACAGAACAAGGGGATACTGAGTTTAAAGTCAGGAAAACTGTGTGTCAGGGTGTATCCTTTCACTATACCTATTCAATCTGTACGCTGAGCAATTAATCCAAGAAGCTGGACTATATGAAGAACAGGGCATCAGGATTGGAGGAAGACTCATTAACCTGCATTACGCAGATGACACAACTTTGCTTCCTGAAAGTGAAGAGGACATGAAGCACTTCCTGATGTAGATCAAAGACCACAGCCTTCAGTATGGATTACACCTCAACATAAAGAAAACAAAAGTCCTCATAACTGGACCAATAAGCAATACCATGATTAACGGAAAAAAGATTGAAGTTGTCAAGGATTTCATTTTACTTGGATGTACAATCAACACCCACAGAAGCAGCAGTCAAGAAATCAAAAGACGCATTGCATTGGGCAAATCTGCTGCAAAAGACCTCTTCAAAGTGGTAAATAGGCAAAGATGTCACCTTGAAGACTAAGGTGGGCCTGACCAAAGCCATAGCGTTTTCAATCAACTCATATGCATGCAAAAGCTGGACAATGAATAAGGAAGACAGAAGAATTAACATCTTTGAATTATGGTGTTGGCAAAGAATACTGAATATACCATGGACTGCCAAAAGAACAAATCTGTCTTGGAAGAAGTACAGCCACAATGCTCCTCAGAAGCAAGGACATACTTTGGACATGTTATCAGGAGAGATCAGTCCCTGAAGAATCAACAACGTACTTGGTAAAGTAGAGGGTCAGTGAAGAGGAGGAAGACCCTCAACAATATGGACTGACAGTGGCTGCAACAAAGGGCTCAAGCACAATTGTGAGAATTGCACAGGACCGGGTAGTGTTTCATTCTGTTATATACAGGGTTATTATGAGTCAGAACCAACTCAAACACACCTAACAACACAGAGGCAAGGAGGGCAGGGCAGAGCTCTTGTTCTTAGAAGACTGCCTGTTACAGAATGGAGAAGGAATGAGAGAAAAAACCATCATTTTGTAACTACTCCAACGTAAAGTAAAAAATGATTCAGGGAAAGATCAACAAGGGATAAAATCACTGGGTGAAACACTGCTGGGGAACAGATTATTCCCTGTTGTCAAAATATCCTTACATTACTCCAAAGAAAAATGTGACTTTACAAGAGATATCAGCAGCCACCACCTTTACCAAATACTTAGTATTTATGACTCCTAATGGGATACAACATTAAGTACACAACATTGCCAATGAAATTTTTGATCCTCTAGACCTGCACTGTCCAGCACAGTAACTATTAGCACGATGTGGTGATAGAGAACATGAACTGTGGCTACTGCAACTAAGAAATGAAATCCTTAATTTTAATTTAGCAATAAACCTGATTCAATTACTGGAAATATATGATTGGAGTAAGCATGGTTTGTAAATCTAGTTTTTAAACAAGAAGTTTTATGAAATCTAAATACTGATTAAGAATTTCAAATGAAATTTTGCATCCACCTTGAAATGTGCTATTTCTAGATTCTGAAAATCTCAGGACAAAAAGAAACAAAAGCAAAATGTCTCATTAATAACTTTATATACATTAATTCCACTAAAAGTTTTTATATTGGATTTAATAGCATATCATAAATGCAATTTTACATTTTAATTTCCTAATATAGATACTGAGAATTTTAGAATTACATCTTTACATTACATGTGAATAAGAACTTCTTTAAAGTCAACGTCCACACCACAAGAAATATAGTAGACAAACTAAACAAAATTATGAGAAAACAAACATCAGAATTGCTGAATATTTTACCAGACAGTTCGGAGTCAATATTATTAAAAATTAAAAAAACTGGAAACAAATGTATTATGTAAATCAGACTAGAGATCTGAAAGTAGAAAGGCAACATACAAATCTTGTTTGAAGATCCTAGCTTCAAAATACCCAACTGTAATAGAAGTGAAGAAATTTTCTTGTGTGTGATAATGAAGTTGTTCTTGATAGATTATCCTTACTCTTAGAAAGTTCACACTACAGATTAAAGGATAAAGTCAACTGTCTAAAATTAATTATTCAATGTTTTATTACAATCACATTTATATGTTGACAAATACAGTAAAATCTTAACAATTGGTGAATAAGGGTCTAGAGCTATGGGTGCTCATTTTACTGGAACTACAGGTTTTTTTAAAAGTGAAATTAAAACAATGAGAAAATTCATTTGTCAAAACTCATCTTGCTCATAAACTCCTCTGTCTTCTGCTACTGACATAAATATGTCTACACTGTCTTCTTACAGACTCCTGTAATTTAAAGCTCCGGGGTATTTTCAGGGATCTGGAAGTGAGCTGAGGTGGGGATGACTGGAGAACAGGGTTGAGTAGAGCTTTTCTTTGTGGTAAATTTGTATCTATATTAATTCATTCACTCACAGACTAACTTATATTAGACAAATGGGATCCCGATTGTTGTCCTGTGCCTTTGAGCAGATTTTTGACACATAGCGACCCAATGTGACAGAGGAGAACTACCCCATAGGGTTTTCTTGGCTGTAATCTTTACAGCAACATTGCTAGGTCTTTCTTCACTGGAGCCACTGGGTGGGTTCGAACTGCCAACCTTTCAGTTTCCAGCCAAGCACATAACTGTAGTGTGACCAGGGCTCCTTAATGGGCTCCGAGATTATCTGTGACATACTTTGGACATGTTATTAGGAGGGATCAGTACCTGGAGAAAGACACCATGTTTGGTAGAGGGTCAGCAAAGAAGAAGATCCTCAACGAGATGGACTGACACAGTGGCTGCAACAATGGTCTCAAGCATAACGATTGTGAGGATGCCACAGGACCAGGCAGTATTTTCTGTTGTACACAGGGTTGCTATGAGTCAGAACCAATTCGATTGGCACCTAAGAACAACAACAGGACTGTATCACTCAGCACAGGCTTTGAGCCTGTGCAGAAGTTCCACTGCAGCTACATGAGATTGGGTCACTGTGTTGCCATAAAATTGCTGTGGCCCCAAAATGAACCAACCATCCATGCAAACCCTGCTTGTCATAATGCCACTTGAGAGAAAAGCACTTTTGTAGAATGATATTGAGTTAAAACTTTCTGTGTAGTTTCTTCTTCAGGAAATCCACAATCATGATTGCAGTCAAGTAGAATGAGATGCAATGCAAAACATGTCTACTACAAAACTAAACATACAGTACAATCCTGATTCTGTTAAAACATTATTTTCCATACAAGAAAGGCTTAAAGTAAACACCCAACAAACCAAGCATGGTCACAGTCTAAATGACTTTTATTTTTCCGTACACTTTTCAGTTAAAAACAATCTTCTACAATGAAAACATGGTGCTTTATACTCTGGACCAAAAAAGCCAAATCCAATGCAATTGAGTCCATTCCAACTCAAAAACCATGAAGAACAGAACAGAATTTCCAATGTGATTAAAGCCTTTCTCAAAATAGTTAATAGTCACAGATTCTCTCCAGTGTGTACGGTCTCACAGGCATCCTAAGGGTGGACACTAAAGGCGTCCATCATCTTTTATATTCATAGAATCAATACACAACGTAATATCTCCCACGTTGTCTAAGATTACAATATATATATATATATGATCCAAAATACCTTGCATTTACATGATGTCTCTCCAGTCCAACTTCTCATGTGATCAAATGGGTTTTCCAAATGTGTAAATTTTTCTATATTCCTTACACTTACATGGTTAATATGCCACATCTTTCAGATTTGCAAAAAGAAAGCACATGAAAGTTATTCAACAATACTTAGACGTATCGTGTTTATCTCCAGTATACCAAATCAAAGGTGTTCCAAAGAATAAGATCCGAAGACTTTCCCACATTCCTGACATTCATGATTACTCCTCACTGTATGTTTACAGAGAGAAAAGCAAAAACTAAAACCTTTATTACATTTCTGATATTTATGTGTTCTCTCCTCTATGAATTTTGTGTTTTTGAGGTAAGAGATATGAGCAAACGCATTCCCACACTGGTTACATTCATAAGGTCCCTCCCAACCAGAACAAGGTTAATGATGTTCAATAAGGACTGAAAACTGACTAAATGCTTTCTCACATTCATTACATTAATATGGCCTCTCTCCACTGTGAGTTTTTATATGTGAAGTGAGGTGTGAAAAAACCTTAAAGGCTTTACCACATTTCTTACATTCATAAGGTCTCTCTCCAGTGTGAGTTCTTATATGTGTAGTAAGGTTTGAGGATTCACTAAAAACTTTCCCACATTCTTTACATTTATAAGGCTTCTCTCCACTATGAGTTCTTATATGTGTGGTGAGATTTGAGGAACAAATAAAGGCCTTCCCACATTCCTTACATTCATAAGGCCTCTCTCCACTGTGAGTTCTTATATGTGTAGTAAGGGCTGAGGCATGACTAAAAGCTTTCCCACATTGTTTACATTCATAAGGCTTCTCCCCACTGTGAGTTCTTACATGCTGATTGAGACCTGACGAATCACAAAAGGCTTTCCCACATTCCTTACATTCATACGATCTCTCGCCACTGTGAGTTCTTATATGTGTAGTGAGGTGCGAGGATTGACTAAAGGCTTTCCCACATTCCTTACATTCGTAAGGCTTCTCTCCACTGTGAGTTCTTAAATGTGCAATGCGGGATGTGGCACAACTAAATGACTTCCCACATTCCTTACATTTATAAGGTTTCTCTCCACTGTGAGTTCTTATGTGTTCAGTGAGGTATGAAGAACGACTAAAGGCTTTCCCACATTCCTTACATTCATAAGGCTTCACTCCACTATGAGTTCTTTTATGTAAATTGAGGGAAGAGGTCTGACTAAAGGCTTTTCCACATTCCTTACATTTATAAGGTTTCTCACCACTGTGAGTTCTTCTATGTGTAGTGAGATGTGAGGAATCACTAAAGGCTTTCCCACATTCTTTACAAATATACGGTTTCTCCCCACTGTGAATTCTTATATGTGTAGTGAGGGCTGAGGCATGACTAAAAGCCTTCCCACATTCCTTACATTCATAACCCTTCTCTCCACTGTGAGTTCTTATATGTGAAATGAGATGTGAGGAACGACTAAAGGTTTTCCCACATTCCTTACATTCATAAGGCCTCTCTCCACTGTGAGTTCTTGTATGCTGAGTGAGATGTGAGGAACTACTAAAGGCTTTTCCACATTCTTTACATTCATA